CTTCCCCACTCATCATGTCCTGTCCTTCCCTTCTTTTCTGAAACAGCAGACAGAGGTGCTGTGCTGGGGCCCAGGTTGATGCAGTAATATTAATCTAGTAATTACTGATTCAGGAGGGACTTGGAGGACATATTTACATAAAAATCAGAATGAGGATGGAACTTCTGCTGCAGAACTTAGGTACCTTAAGGCCTGGGGTTTGGGGTAAGAAAAGGGACCCAGGATATGCTCCTAATTCAGGCCCCTGGAGCTCGGGATCTGGCCATGTAGAGGGCCAGGCCTGGGGCTCTGAAGGTGGTGATCAGACCTGAGGTAGGGAGGCAGGGAGGCCTGGGAAGGGAGCACAGGTCAGCAGGAGGGTGGGGAATAGTGAGGGGAGGGCAGTTGTCCTGGCACCTTGGATGCCCTTCAGAGCTAACAGGAGAAAAGCCCCCGTGAAGGGCTAAAAAGCTGCTGTTTGCAAATGCATTGAGTATCCCTAATTAGGTGTTTTATCAGTCAGGGTCCTCCAGGAAACAGATGGCACACTCACATGGCTCAATGTGAGGACAGTTTAATAAAAGAAATGTTTACAAAGGTGTAGGAAGGGGGTTTGGGAACCATGTGGGATAACTCCCTGTGTGGTACCCAGGGTCTAGTAACCAAGGAGGCGGCGCCACCCCTGGTTCTGAAGGGAGGACGGAGGGATCGATTTCCTTCTGTAGCCTAGAAGCAGAGGAGCTCTGGTCTGTCCAGGGATGCAGCTGTGCTCACCCTGCTGTCTTCTCCTTCTGTTGGCCAAACCTAAGCGAGGCCTCCCTGGATGCAGTTCCCCCATATCCATCCACCTCCCAGGCACAGAGCAGGGAGGCGGAGAGCCAGGGCAAATTTGGAGGTGCAGACAGAGGGCATCCAGCACAAGAATCAGAGGGCAAAAGGAAACGCGCCAGTCCCTGTTCTTCTCTCCCCAGAGCACCAGAATAATTCAGGCTAGTTGATTGCTCAGTGTCTGCCAGGTACTGTTCTAGGCCTTTTAAAGGTAATAACCCCTTTCATCCTCACAACTGCTAAATAAGTTGATATTGTTATTATCATCCCCAATTTGAGGAAACTAAGGCAAAGAGACGTTCAGTGTTTTTCCCAGAGTCACACAGCTAGCGAGGAAGAGGGCTGGGGTTGGGCCTCAGGTTGTCTGGCTCCAGAGATTTGGTCTTGCCCTTTTAATCTCTCTTCTCCAGCCCTGTAGCCCTGTTTGAGGGGCCAGGGGTCAATGTCAGGAAAAGGGGTTGGGGGACTCTAAGGATGGGCGGCAGTGCCAAACCCCATGCCCCAGGATGGACCCAGGCTAACACTGAGGAAAAACTCCATGTCAGTGACAGTGTGAAAAATCACTCCAGGGAGATTTTCTCCCTCCCAGAGGGTCTCTGCTAAGAGGGATGGTGAGGCCCTTCTGGGGAGGAGCAGAGCATGTACATTTTGAGCTGGAGGATAAGAGGATCAAAAAGGTGCTATGAGTCCTAATTCCCTGTGGGATGCAGACCAGGGAGGGAGAATAGGGGAGAAGGGGCCAGTTGGATGTGCTGACTTCATCCTGTTATTTCCTTGGAGGCTTGCAGCCATTCAGTGATGGGTATTATTCCATTTCACACACATGTGAAGAAACTTAGGCAGAAAGAAAGTAATCCTCCTGTAATTTTCCCAGTCCTGGAGTAAGGTAGTGACAGTAGAAAGGGAAGAGAGAGGAAGGGTTGGGACAGAAGTCTTAGAGCAGGAAGGAGACCAACCCTCAGGTCCTCCAGCTTCCACCCAGGGGGCTGCTCATCAGAATCACCTGGGAATTCCATACCTGCCAGCCCAGGACTCCGCCCCCAGGGGGATGATTCTGATTTACCCCGGCTCCTGGTCAGGTATCCCTAATCTAGTTCAACCTTTCATTTCATTGCTGAGGAAAGTGACGCCAAGAAGGTCACTCTGGATGAGAGACCTTTGAGAGAGGTAGGTTCAGCCAGGCTTGGTGACATGTTGGATGGACTAGGGAAGGAGAGAGGAGGTGGGAGGTGACTCAGAGGGGAGAAGTCAGGCCTCCAGACAAATGTTTGGGCTTCTTCAGGAGTTTTACTGAACCCAAACTAGTTTTTTAAAAGTTTCTAAAATCTAATAACTTTATTGAGTAGCCAATATGTTTACCTGGTCACAAATGAAATTAATATAAAAAGGTATTTACTGAGAAGTCTTGATTTCCATTTTGCTACTTATAGGTAACCTACTAAAATTAGTTTGGGTTTATTTTTCTAGTGTATGTCAATGCTAATACAAGCAAATATAAATACATATGCTCTTATTTTTACCCTCTTATTTTCACAAAAGGTAGCATGCTACCACGCTGTTCTGCACCTTACTTTTTTCACTTAATATACATGGAGATTTTTCCATATAAAGCCTGGAGAAAGCCTGGGCAGCAGAACAAGACCCCTCTACTTACAACAGAGCATGCCCCTGTAGCCAGGCACGATGGTGCTTGCCTATGATCCCCACTACTAGGAAGGCTGAGCTGGGACGATTGCTTGAGCCCAGAAGGTCAAGGCTGCAGTGAGCCATGATTGTGCCATCGAATTCCAACCCGGGCAACAAGCAAGACCCTGTCTCTCTAAAAATGAAATAAAATAAATAGAGAAAGTCTTCATACTTTTCAACAGCTGCATAATATTCCATTGTGAAGATGCACCACAGTTTATTTAGGAAGTCTCCTATTTGGTTGTTTCCTGCCTTTCTGTTCTCTCAAAGAATGACACGATGAACGATCTCGTGTGTAAGTCACTTTGTGCATGTGCGGGCGCCTCTGTGGTCTGTTTTTGCCTCTCAACTATCTGTGAAGAAGCAGGTTTGATTTTTCAATTTATAATCTGTCACAGATGGATACTTATGTAAAATTCAATAAAAGTAAATTACTAGAGAAATGAATTGAAAGGAAGCATGCAACGTACAAGCCTGAATTTTTTTTTTTTGTTAAATTCAATACACTTAAAATTACTCTGTCAAATTATTGTAAAGATTTTTAAACACCGACTCTCAAACCTCTGCATTTCTCTGGCCGTGGAGTTGTTCCAGTGTGTGAATCGACACTGGTCTGTGGAGTACACTTTGAGGAGCATGAGTATAGATGCAAAGAATCAGGTTTGCTAGGTCAAGGGGTAATTACATGGGTAGTTTTGCCATATATTGCCAGGATAACCCCACAGGGATTGTGCCGTCTTGTACACCCTGACCCCCACAGCTGCATATGGTAGTTGCTCTCTACCCACTGCTTCACCGAAAGACTGCTGCATCTAACTTGGATTTTTGCTAAACCAATAGATGAGAAGTGGTATCTCTGTTTTAATTTGTGTTTCTGTTATTGTGAGTGAGGATAAGTGTCGTTCATATTTTAAGCCCCTGTTTGTATTTATCTTCTTGGCCTATTTTTCTACGGGATTGTTAGTCTCTTCCTTCTTGATTCCTAGAAGTTTTATAATCGCCTGATGGATTCACCTTGCCCGGCTGTCCAGAAAAGCTGATGCATTGAGAACAGCAGATTTTTCCAATAGAGAAAGAATTTAATAGAAGCAAAGCCAGCTAAGCAGAAGGACAGGTGTTTATCATTACTCAAAGTGGCCTCCCCCAGAATTCAGAGGTTAAGGTTTTTTAAAGGATAGTTTGGGGAGCAGTGGGGCTAGGGAGTGGAGAGTGCTGACTGGTGAGGTCATGGATGAAATCATAGGAACTTGAAGCCCCTCTTTTTGTGCTGAGTTCAGTTCCCGGGTAGGGGGGTCACAAGATCAGATGAAGCAGTTTACCAGTCTGGGTGGCACCAGCAGATCCAACAGAACGCAGTGCCTGAAAAATGCGTAGAACACCAATCTCAGGTTTTACAATCATGATGTTATGTATAGGAGCAATTAGGAATCTTGTGACATCTGGCTGAACGACTCCTGAGCCATACTTTCCTACCCTGTGGCTAACTTGTTAGTATTACAAAGGTGGTCTGATCCCCAAGCAAGGAGGTGGTTTGCTTTGGGACGGGGTTGTGGTCTTCTTTGCTTCGAAGTTAAACTGTAAACTAAATTCCACAGTTAGCTTGGCCTAGGCCCAGGAATGACCAAGGGCAGCTTGCAGGCTAGAAGCAAGATGGAGTCTGTTAGGTCAGATTTCCTGCACTGTCATAGTTTATGCAAAGGCAGTTTCAGTTCTTTATATATATTGGGAATATTAGTTTCTTGTCTGTGATATGAATTGCAAATATTTTTTCTAGTTTGTCATTTCCCTTATGATTTTGATTGATGTTGTTTTGGGGGAGAGGAAAGGGAAGTCCAGGTGTTTGTGATTTTAATGTAGTCAAATTTATCAATCTTTTCTTTGATGGCTTCTGGATTTTGAATCATGGTTTCCCATGCCAAGGTACAGAGGATCCTGCCAGAATTTTCTTCTAGTATTTTTATGATTTTTAGCCTCAACATTGAAATCTTTTGTCTATTTGGAATTTTTCCTAGTATATAAAGTATGAATTATGGATCCAGATTTATCTTTTTACAAATAGTTACCCATGGCCTCAGCTCCGTTTATTAAAATCCCTAAGATACTACCTTTATCATTAAAACTAATTTTAAATCATTTGGGATCACAAATAGAAAAGGCAGTATAATTTGTCAGTTTTGTACAGAATACTATTACAAGGGAAATTAGCTTTCAGGGGATGATCTATATCTTTGCATTTACTAGAGCAGAGCAAACTCTGGGTAACATAAATACAATAGAAATTTATTTTTCAAGCCCTGTGGGACCACTGACAACCACAAGCAAATCCAGGGCTTCGGGCCCAGGTGGAGGGAGCACTTGGTGAGACTGAGTGTTTACGTTGCAGGCCTCCTCCCCTGTCTGCCTCCCGGAGCTAGGACTGCAGAGGGGCCCACCATGGTGGTCGCAGGCCCCCTGGCTGTCTCGCTGTTGCTGCCCAGCCTCACGCTGCTGGTGTTCCACCTCTCCAGCTCCCAGGACGTCTCCAGTGAGCCCAGCAGTGAGCAGCAGCTGTGCGCCCTGAGCGAGCATCCCACCGTGGCCTTTGAAGGTAAGAGCTGCTTCCTGTTTGGACCTGTCTCGAAGTAGCCATGTCCCGAAGGACTTAGGTCAGACCTTGGCAGGATGTTTCTGGCTGTTGGATGTCCTTGGGATGTTCATTAACTGCTGGGTCCCGGGGTCCTTAGACTTTCCCTCTGGTAATGGATGTTTTAAAAGGATGGGCAGCGATGGACTAGAGGGGTCTAATTTTTGTCTCTAGGTAATTTATTCAGGCCCTTCATGCATGCCAACCTGGGGCAAAGGGAGTCTTTTGCTAGAAAAGGAAGTTGTGGATGCACTGGGTGTGGGTGGCCAGGGGTCTCAGCATGACTCATGCATTAGGAGATCTCTGGAAAGCTGCCTTCTGCTCTAAGGGGCTGCAGGGATCCCTCTCTTGAAGGTCTTGGGAAATTCCAGTCTCTGGGCCCTGGTGACTCGTAACTCCTTCTGTTTGTCAAGGGAGGGTGTGAGAATGTCCTATTAAAGTGTTTCCCAAACTGGGATCTGTAAATCACTGGACATGTTCCAAGGAGTCTGTAAATTCTTGATAAGAGTTTCTAAAATTAGGATATATATTCTAATACTTGCTAAAAAACAAAACAAAACACAAATACCAGAGCATTCCAGACATTCTGTCACAACCTATTACCCAGTTTGGAAGGGAGGTTCCTGGTTGTGCTACAGTTATTAGTACTTATTAACCCACCACCTACTTGGCAGCTCTCACTGGGATCTGCAGATGTAGTCTCGGGGGTCCCCAGGTTCTTAAGTTTGATAGACACTAGCCGATTTCCTCCTCATAGTAACCATGTAGGGGAGGAAGTGCAAGGAGACTGTCACTGCTATTTACAGATAGGAAGGCCTAGGCATGATGGGCCATCCTCAGTGCTGGGCTCCTGACTCCACATGCAGTGCTCTGTCCACTGCCCACTGCAGAGCCCTCAGGTGCTCTACACTCTGGTGGCTCAGACAGGAGGACACACAGAGCCCCATCCTGCAGGAGTGGGTCAGGCAAGATGGATCAACCAATGAGGCCTAGGATTTGAGAGGTGGGAGAGGCAGTATGCTGGAGAGTCTGGGGGCATTGCGGAAGGGGGGGATTCCTTTGAGGGAGGAAGGTTTCTAGCTGTCTCGTTTGAGCTGGGATCCAAAGCTTTGAAGGCTTAAGTGGATTAAAATAAATTAGCAATGTCCTAAGCCTGCAAAACTCGTGCACACCCTCAGACTTCTGATGGCTCCTGGAGTGCTGGTGGCTGTCACTGAAGAGAAGGACCGAGGGGGACGGATTCTTAGGGCTACCGCCCTCACATTGGGGCCCTAAGGAAACATTTCCTCCCAGGGGCTTTGTGGGGGGCGCTATTGGCCTGGCTGAGTCTGGGGGCAAGGACGTAGAAGAGGAGCTGGGGAATCCCTGTTCCCCCACTAGGCTGGTCTCTGTTGGTGCAAATTGGGTTGGAGGAGGAAGTCAGAGAGGTGGGAGATGTCTTCCTTGCATGCCTGGGTTCCTTGAGACCATTTTTGATCCTCAGGTATGAATTGAATGAATCTGACTTCTCACCCCACCCTCCTACAGAATGAAGGAATGCCCTCCTCCCCTTCACCATTCTGACAGCTTTCAGTTTTCCTAACCATTTGCTGTATTTTCATTGTGCCTTGCTTGGTACCAGGCACAGAAGGGGATGCTGTGGGGCCTCAGAGGCGAACAGAGTTTCCTTTGCATACCTAATGATCTCATATTGTTGGTCAAAGTCACTGCCTTTGGTCCCTCAGCCCAGCTGGCCCTGGTTCTGCTTTTGGACCAGGACTGGTTCTTTTGTGTTCCCACATTCCTTAGTGTGGCTGAGCACACAGTAGGGATTCAGTTCGAGTTGGGCAAAGGACTGTGCTCTGGGGACGCTGCGTTGGGGAGAAGTGGCCCTAATCCAGAACAACACCAACCCCAGCCTCCAAGCCCCCAGGATGTTCCACTTCCTTTCTGACCAATCTTTAGGCTGCCAGCTTTGTAACTGTGAGTTTCCCTCTCCCCTGACACCTGACTGAGCTGTGAATAACCCCTAAATACCCTAGAGGAGCTGCCAGTCTCAGAATCTGACTGCTGTTTTTCTGTTTTGTAAGGTTAAATTTTCTCCTGTGGGTTTCTCTTAAGCGGGGCCAAGCTGTGTTTCTGTTCAGCCTGCATATTCTCTCATTTGCCAGTGTTACCTTTCTAGGCGGCAGGAGAAGCCAGCCTGGACTTAACGCTGGCAGTGGTTAATCCACAAGGTGGGTAATTGAATTGACTGTAATTAAAATCATAGGCGCGTCATGGAGAATGTCATTTTTCCCTTAAAGTCACTGTCCAAAGCCTTCACCGCACATGAAACTCAGAACGTGCTTGGTGTTTTAAAGACAGCCTTCCCTCTGGTCCCCTTGGCCTGTTTAATGCAAGCAGGCTGGTTCCCTTCCCAAGGCTCCCCCAGGATCCCTGTCCTTTGCCCATCCCCTTCTCTCCCCACTTCCCCCATCTCCCTTGCCCTTGCGGGCTGGGGCTAGGGGAGGGCTGGGGCTAGGGGAGGCGGAAGGGAACTGGAAGAGGCCACTGCCCTCCATGCCTTCACTCCCACCTCCCCATTTTCATCCCAGCTTCTACCCTGTTTCCTCTTGTTTCCCCTCCTCCCCAAGAAAGGGCCTAAGTGAAGACAGAGCTGAGAGTTCCCAGATGGAGTACTGTAGACCCATCATGCCACCTCCTCCCTCATTCAGCTGCCTACATCTGGAATGCCCTTGTCAAAAGGGAAGGAGAGAATTAAGGTGTAACCTGTTTGCTGCTCTTAAGGAGCACTCAGTCTCATAGGGACAGAGAAGACCCCACCCTACACACACACAAAAGATTTGACCACATTCAGAGTAACAATAACGTACAATGTAAATGGAATGGAAAAGATAGAACATGAAACAAAATAAGATCAGGGTGGAGAGGTTGTAATCCAGGAAGGCTTCCTGGAGGAGGAAGACCCTTGGTTTCATTTCTAAGGTAATATAATATTTCTGCAGGATTTCTGAGAAGTCAGCTAAAAACCCAACCCATCAGACTCCAGATCCACTTCTTATCCTATATCATCCCAAAGCCATCGTGGCTACATGACAATTCTTGCCAACCTATAGTCACCTGCTGGGGGCAGAGGAAGGCCCAAGGGGGTTGCTTCATTTTGCTGCAGTATTTCTTTCTTCTTTTTTTAATCATGCCTATCACAGTTTTCTGAAAAACATCCAACTCACAAAACCTCCAGTTCTCCAGGGAGCGATTAAGCGTTTGCCTGTTGTGCAGAAATGAAGCACTGCTTTTACTCTGTAGTGGAGGGATAATGAGCAATGATTTATTTCCCTTGGATTACACACACAGACTCTCTCTCTCTCTCTCTCTCTCTCTCTCTGTCTCTCTCTCTCTCTCTCTCTCTCTCTCTCCCCCCCGTCACCCCCACCCCCACCCCCACCTTCTGTGAGCCAGTTGCTAAGGCGCTGTGGGGAGAAAACACAGTGCCTCCCGTTACCCCTGAATCTTTACCACCTTCAGCAAAGTTCCTTTACTCCATGGCTCTGTCCTTACTGGTGTCAATTCCCTCCCGTCTGTGTGCCACACATGGGCTGAGGGAGAACTATCAGGAGGCTGTGAACCAAGAAGGGAGAAGTGTGTCTCCAGCAGGAGGGAGGCCCTGCCAGACCACTACCCATCCTCCCAGAGAGTGTGAGGTCTATCTGCCCACCCAGTCCCTTGGAAAGGCCTTGATTAGGAACAACCTTCCTTGGAGTCAGGGTGGACACTGACCACCCAGCCTCGGCACCTCCCACCTCTGCAGGATCTCGTCTGAAAATCCAGTTCCCCTCATACAAGAAGGGATTGAGGATCATTCATGTATATGTTCAAACACGGCTAAGTGCTGGACTGAGCCTGGAGATCTAGGAAGAAAGTCTTTCTTGGCTCCCAGGCTAGACACACAACTACCAAGCTAGACACATGGTGTGACAGTAAAAGTAACATAGAAGACTATGGAAGCCCTTAACTCGGCTTGAAGCAGGCAGGGAAGGCTTCTTGGAGGAGGCAGGGATGGGGGTGAACAGGAATTGTTCCATTGAGGGAGAACAGAAGCACAAAGGTTTGCAGGCTCTTGTGAGATGGATTTGGGGAAGTGTGAAGTGTTTGTTTAGTGTGGCTGGGGTGGAGAGTTTAGGATATGTAAAAGGCGAAGCATCATTCTTTCAGGGGATCAGTAAATAATCACTGTGCTAGGAACTGGACTTCGGAAGACAGTGAGCCAGAACCCAAGGGCCTTTGCAGGAGCTGGACTTTTCCTGGGGGTAGTTGGGAGCTGTGAACAGCTTCTGGGCTGGAGAGTGACATGACCACATTTGCATTTGAGAGCAAGTGCTTGGGTTGCTTTGTGGGAAATGGACTGGAGGGGCAGGCGTGGAAGCCAGGCTGGTTAGGAAGCTGTTGGTACTGCTCCAGACAGAGCTGGTGGTGGCTTGGATGGGGGTGGGATGCAGCAGGAAAGAAGTGAATGGATTTCAGAGGCAGTTTAGAGGTAGAACAGGCAGGATTTACCAGCATGTACTGATGTGGCTGGTGAGGGTCTGCGTGGAGTCAAGGGCGAGTATAGGTGTCCCTTCGTGCCTCTGTGGGAAGGATCGTGCCCTCCTCTGAGCTAAGGAATGTGGCAGGAACAGTGACTTCCAAGACCCTGGGGCCACACCAGGGTGCCATCACCCCACTTTCCCCCGACTTTCACCCTTCTGTCCTGTGGTCTGCTGTGGGTACAGCTGGGAACTCCTGGCCCAGCAGTAACCTCAGGGTTGCCTCTCCCTCCACCAGATCTGCAGCCATGGGTCTCTAATTTCACCTACGCTGGAGCCTGGGATTTCTCCCAGATCGCCCTGGACCCCTCCAGGAACCAGCTCATCGTGGGAGCCAGGTAACCAGGGACAAGAGGGTTGGGGCTGGAGGTGCAGGGGCTTGGAGCTGGCTGGAGGGAATATTTTTTGGGATGAATTCACCTGGGCCATGTGCTGGGCCCTCTCTGTGTAGATGTCTGTCCCCTACAGAAGGAAGCGAGGAAGCGTGTTTTGGTTGGGAGGGGGCGAGGGTGACTCTTTTTTTTTTTTTTTGAGACGGAGTTTCGCTCTTGTTACCCAGGCTGGAGTGCAATGGCGCGATCTCGGCTCACCGCAACCTCTGCCTCCTGGGTTCAGGCAATTCTCCTGCCTCAGCCTCCCGAGTAGCTGGGAGTACAGGCTTGAGCCACCGCGCCCGGCCAAGGGTGACTCTTGACCTCACAATCTCAGTCAGCTGCAGGCTTCGGTGGTTGGCAGTTAGTGAGGGCAGGGACGCCTGCTGCCCACCTCCTGACCTGTCCCTGCCCGGTGGCCTGGGCAACTACCTGGGCCAACTCCCTGGGAGTTCAGTGGAGAAGGTGCCCGGGAGCCCCCTGCCGGCCAGCCAGTGGCCTGCACCTGGGACAGCTGGGTAGGGGTAGAACCTTCCCTGAAGGACCTCACTTGCCTGTGGCCTGACTTCTTAGCCCACTATTCAGATCCAATATCCAACAGACAATACTCTCTGGGGGGACCTGTGGAAACTCTCTGGGTTGGACTAGGAGGAGCTCATTCCTCATGAAGCCATAGACCATCGGCTCTGGTAGGGAGGGGGCTTAGAGAGGGCCGACTCTAGCGGCTCTCACGGTGCTGTCCCTGGCCCCACAGCACCTGAGAATGTGTTGGAAATGCAGATTCTTGGGTCTGCCTCAGACCTCTTGAGTCAGAAACTCTGGGAAGAGGCAACCTGTGTTTTAGCAACCCTCCAGGTGGCCTGATCACACTCAAGTTTGAGAATCTCTGGTGTCATCCCACCATCCTCATTTTAAACAGGTGGTAGCAGAGGCCCAGAGAGGGGAAGGTGACCTTTCCAGCATCACACAGCATGATGACAGCAGGGTGTGGGTACTAGAGCCAGGTGTCCTTAACCCAGGTCTAGAGTTTCTCTGCAGGTCCATCCATCTCATTGCCTGGGACTGCACTGGTATTTTTCAGCCCTGTAGCCCAGAGGTTCTGACTCAATGGGTGTGGGGCTGGGGAGAGGGTGGCCACTGGGTTGGGCACTTCTGAGCCATGCTGTAGCTGACCATCCTTGCCCTGGAGCTTTCTTTAGTGTCTCCACCCCTTCATTTGCTGTATGAAAATGAGGCCAGTCAAGAACAGAGCTCTAGACTAGTCTCGAATGAGCTGGGTTCCTGTCCTAGGGGATCTTGACCTTGGCGCCTCTGTTTTCTCATCTGTAAAGTCTGGGTTACAGTCTCTGTGCCGCCAACCTCACAGGGCTGATATAAAGCTGGGTCTGAAAGCATTTTTGTTTTCATTTTTTAATTTTTAAACTAACTATTTTGTCTTATGGTAGGACATTCAAAAGGTGCAAAGAAGTATATGGCGAAAAGCAGAGCCAGCCCCTCAAACAGGCAGGACCCCTGACTGAAGGTGCACCCAGTGGTGAGGTTCTTGACCCCCCAGAGGAGTCTGTCCCTATGCAAGTAAACAAGAGGATTGACTTTATTTTCCCAGCAAAGAGAAATCGTTTTACTCTCTATTTTGAGAAGATTGTAGATTTACCTACAGTTGTAAGAAATAATAGAGAGAGTTCCCATATGCCCTTCATCCAGTTTCCCCCAAGGCTAACATCTTGCATAGCTGTAGGACAACATTACAATCAGGAAACTGGCCTTGATTAGGGCCTTCACCCTAATTCTGATTTTACCCGTTTTACATATGTACCTTAAAAAACCCAAATCGTAGCACCTGAACCTTGTGAAGGCATTACAAAAGCTGCCATTTATTCCATACTGGCCACTTGGCGGGCGCTATTCTATGTGCCATATATGTAGTAAGTCAGTTACTGCAGGTGGTAAAGCACACACATATTTAATCTAATAAATCACCAAATCATCACAAGTGGGTGAACCCAGGAAGTGGGTTCTGTGGTCACCCCCATATTATAGACCAGGAAACTGGAGCTTGGAGAGGTTAGGTTACTCTGTGACTGTGGTCACACTGTTCTTCCTGACCCACTCTCTGGCTTCCCCAGAAGGTGATCATGTTTCCTGTCTGGAGGCTTCCCACACAGATGGACGGAGGGACACCTTTTCCTGTGTCCTTGAGCCTGGCCATGCCCTCAGATGGACAGGGGGAAAATCTGTTCTAGACCTGGTCCCTTAGGCTTCTTAGAGCCAATGTAGTGGGTCCTCGCCACTTTCTTTTCCTGTTTCCAGGTCATTTTCCTTCCTCCTTTTCTTCTGCCTGAATTTTTTTCCCTTATTCTTGACCCCTGGACCTCTGGAATTCAGGCTAGGGAAATTTTATATTCATTTATAGCTCTGTCTTTTTCCACAGGGGATTTAGGGTGGGTCAGGCTACAGAGATCTCTCTCTGTTCTCACATTCCAGCTCCCAGGAGAGCTGACTGCAACGTTGCGATGAATGATTTTTGATGGATAAAAATGAATAAAGTGATGCAATGTTTCCCCTAATTTGTGAAAGCTGTGAGCAGATGCCTGTGTTACCTGAGCAGGCAGCTGGGGCACAGCCACAAGCTGGAGCTTGTCTGCTCCCAGGCCAGGATGGTGGGATGGGGAGAGCTCTGCTAAGGACTTGGAGAGGGGTTTGGGGAGGGACAGCAAAGGCCTGGAGCCAAAGTCACCCGGGAGGCCTGCCCAGCCCCAGGACAGCAAAGAAGCTGAGTGGGGCCTGGGCCTGGAGCCAGAGCTGGGAATAGATGCCTCCTGGCCTGTGGCGTCTCCTTCCGGCTCTGGATTCCTTCAGCATGGGCCCTCTTTCTCTTTCTGGCCCACTCCACGGCCTTTCCCCTCATTTCTCTCCTCAGCTGAGGTAGGCCAGAATTTAAAGTCTTGATTCCTCAAAAGTTCGGGAACCAAAATAGGAATAGCCAAAAGAAGACAGAAGAAGCAAAGAGAGAAAATTGTTGGGGAAAACCAAGACTTGATATCTGTTCAACATGAATAGAGCCTTTTACTGCGCATCACACCATCCCTGTGTCTCCACAGTCCCGTGCAGTAGAGCCTTTTACTGCGCATCACACCGTCCCTGTGTCTCCACAGTCCCTTGCAATAGAGCCTTTTACTGCGCATCACACCGTCCCTGTGTCTCCACAGTCCCGTGCAGTAGAGCCTTTTACTGCGCATCACACCGTCCCTGTGTCTCCACAGTCCCATGCAATAGAGCCTTTTACTGCGCATCACACCGTCCCTGTGTCTCCACAGTCCCGTGCAGTAGAGCCTTTTACTGCGCATCACACCGTCCCTGTGTCTCCACAGTCCCGTGCAGTAGAGCCTTTTACTGCGCATCACACCGTCCCTGTGTCTCCACAGTCCCGTGCAGTAGAGCCTTTTACTGCGCATCACACCGTCCCTGTGTCTCCACAGTCCCGTGCAGTAGAGCCTTTTACTGCGCATCACACCGTCCCTGTGTCTCCACAGTCCCGTGCAGTAGAGCCTTTTACTGCGCATCACACCGTCCCTGTGTCTCCACAGTCCCATGCAATAAGAAAGACAGCCATTCACTTCCCCACTGTACAGATGCAGGCACTGAGGCTCTCAGAAGGCCCCCAGCAGGTGGCCGAGCTGGAATTCTCCCGGTCTGTGCATGGTGGCCTTCTGGCTCCAGCGTCCATGCAAAGCAATTTTGCAGTGGCTGACACTGATGATACTTAATAAGTGTCTGATATCATTACTGCTAGGAGTAGTATCTTTTTTACTACTGAAGGTAAAAACTGTATTTGACGTGGATGAGTCTGGAAGCCCTGTGCAGGCTGGATTGTGGGGAGAGGGAGGGTGAGGTGGTGGATGGGGTCGTCTGGGCTAGATGAGAGAGGGTAGTCCAGAGAGGCAGCACAGAGAGGTCAGACTCAGAGTCACTGACTGCAAGAGAGACTGCAGGAGATGAACAAACAAACTGAACTCAGGACCCTGGGGCACAGAGCCAGGAGAGAGGGCTGGCCTGTGTGCGGAGGGGCAGGTCAGGGTGGCGGGCCAGGGTAGGAGGAAGCTGGCTGTCTGCATCCCTGCAAGAGTGCTGTGAGGTTTTCCATTTAACAGCTCTGTGGTTGGAAAAGCTGGGGTCGAGGGGTTCCTCCCTGGGCCTGCTGAGTTGGCTGGGAGCAGAGTCACATGGGACTTAGGGGAGAGTCTGGGTTTGAATCCTGACTCCTTCACTTCCTATCTTGGTGACCTGGGCCATTTACCCAACTTGCTTCATCTGTAACATGCAGCTTCCTGAATTTCCTCCCAGGGTTGTGTGAAGATTAAGTGAGCAAGTAGAGGCAGAGCTCTCTTTGGGGGTTGACCCTAAGCAATCAGCACCCAGTCCTGGCATCCCAGGAGGCTGCTTGCTCCCTGGGTCCTGCCTGCAGAACCATTTTCACTCAGGACGTCTGTTTCCGTTTTCACAGGAACTACCTCTTCAGACTCAGCCTTGCCAATGTCTCTCTTCTTCAGGTATGAATGCTCTCTTCCCTTCCCTTCCCTTCCTATAATTTCCCCTATTCCAGAGCCCAAGGCGGGGCAACGCAAATGGTGCCATTCAGAGTTCAGCCCCTAATGCTGAAAACAGGAGCATTTGTTCTTCTCACTGGCCGTGGACTCAGACCCCAGCTATCAGGGTCACTGTGGGGAAAGCGTGTGGAAGTGGGGTGTGGCCTCCATATACGCGGAGGCATACACAGGGCTCTTGCATCATGCAGCGAGGCTGCTAATGAGGAAGGGAGGAAAAGAACGCCAGGCTGGGGTGACCAACTGTCCCTGTTTGTGCAAGGCTGAGAATGCAGAACTTTCAGTGCAAAAACTGGGACAATCCCAGGCAAACTGGGTTGGTTGGTCATTATAAGTCCCCAGCCTAGATCCACAGGGGGGGTCTCTAAGTTCAAGCCTCCACGGAAAGGGTGTTCTTAGTTCCCATCCTAGCCCAGTCTGAATGATCCCATTCTAACTCAGCAATTTCTTTGAGTGGTGATTGATTTATTATCTGCTGCCAAGAAGGACTTCCCAAGCATAATTCCCTAAGTGCTCTGAGAGGCATTTTAATGGGACTCCTTGATCCAGAACATTTATCCCAGATTGAGAAACAGATGCCAAACCATCTTTGCAGAGGCTGAATATTGTAGAGAAAGGAAGGCCATCTCTTCTTCAGTGAGGGGAGAGCCTCAGTTCTCATATCTAGGAGACATGTTCTGGTCTCCCAATGATTAAGCATTCTGTGAGTACTTACTGTGTACCAGAACTAAGCTAGGGGCCACAGGACTATAAGAAATGCAGAGTTTCTGGCCTTCAGGAAAACATGATGAATGACTAACCTAATCAGAAGTTAGAACTTAATCATGTGCTGGGCTGTTTGGTATAGAGTTTCACTGCCACAGGGGAGACCTCCCTGGGAAGCTGGTGTGACATTCTGGCCACACCTGGGTCCACACATCCAGGGGTATTGCAGCTCTTGGATGGTTACTAGAGGGGAGGTTGAAGGAGGAGAAAAAGTATGCCCATTGGAAGGGAAGGGTTGGGAGGAGCTAGGGCAAGTTGAAGGGAAATGCCATTCATCTATTTGTCTGTCCATCTGTCCTCTGTCCATACCTTTACCAGCCAGCCTGCCCATTCATCCATCTATCCATTCACCCACCCAATAAACATTTATTGAATAACTACTGAAGGCCAGGTCTCGTCCTAGGCATGGTACAAGGCATTTGAGTTCCAAAGTGAATCAGGCCCAGTCCCTTGCCGCAAGGAATATGCATATAAGAGATCACATACGATTCCCTTGAGGGGCCGTGCAGCATATTCCTGGGATCTGAGCTGGAGCGAGGCAGGGGAAGTTCCCCAGAAGCAGCATCTTGTGGCCTGTCAGCTCGGTCACAGGCAGCCAGTCCAGAGCCTAGTTTCCATTTGGTGGGAAAGTAAGCCAAGATGCCAAATCCAGCAGGTCAGGGCCTGGGTGAAGCCAATGCAGAGGGGGTTCAAAGTGGATAGAAGGAGGTGGACCCAGGGGTCCCACCCTGAGCTCCAGGTAGCTGGCTTTTTTCTTGGTTCCCATGTTTTGCAGATGAAGAAGGCCTTCCGGGAGTGTAATATGGCTGAAGGGAGGAAGAGAAATACATACACAAATAAAGGCAATGCTGTGGGGAGGGTTTGGGAGGGGTCGCCTACAGGCATGAGAAACCCTCTGGGCTCGGTAGGGTCTGCAAAGGCTCCCAGAGGAGCTGTCCTTGAGCTGGAGCTGAAGGAATGTGTTTGCCAGGCAGCTAAGGAGGGGAGCAGAGGTGTGAAATGGCATGCAGCACTGAGAGGACCAGAGGGTGTGAGCAGGGTAAGGGTAGCAGGTGAGGCCCAAAAGAGAGAAGCTGCACTGCAGGGGGTCTTCCTTGCTGTGCTGTGGGGTCCCTCTTTTGTTCTGAAGGTTATAGAGATCCATTAATGACTTTTAACCAGAGATGTGGCATGACCAGATGTGGTGTTTAGATCACTGGGCCCAGTGCAGAGACTGGATTAGTGAAGGAGCCAGTTAGGAGACAATTCCAATAGTCTAGGCCCGTGATGGAGACAGTGAAGGATGCAGTGGTGGTGGGGATGGAGAGAAGACAGAGGATGGGATCTTAAGGTGCAGGATCATAGGGGCCCACAGGACCACAGACTCCAGAGGGCACCGGGCACACTGTCTCCTGCATGAGGGTGACCCTGGGGGCATTGGGGAAGTTGGCTGCCCTGGAGGATTTAGTGATGCTTGGACCACAGTGGTAACATCTAGGTTTCTGGCTTGCACAGCTAGGTACCATACATTAGGATGAGAATGGGGCAGCCTGACTCAAGGCCACTGGCTCCCTCTTGGCTGCACGCTGGAATCACTAGGAGAGCTTTAACAAATGCGGTACCTGGGTCCCACCCTCAAAGATCTGGACTTAGTTGCTTTGGGTTACAGTCTGGGCCCTGGGATTTTTACAAGCTTCCAGGTGATTCCAATGGGCAACTAAATGTAGGAAGCGCTGCTCTAGAATGTCAAGGTCTTCTCTGTAGATGCTGCCCAGCCTCTCTGACCACTGTCCTGTAGGTCATAAGTTACATACCTTATCTTAGGACTGTTAGGACTCTGTTAAGATTCTGCGCTTGATGACTGAGTTCTGGGGTTTGGTTCGTTCAGATCAGTGTTGACCTCGCCTCAGCCTGGGGCAGGTGTCTTATGGCAGTCCATAGCTCAGGCTTGGAGCAGGGGCTGAGCTCCAGGGGCATTCCTACAAACCAGCCCCCAAAGCACCAGGAACTAGTTTGATCACTTTTCCCAGCAGGTCTCTTAGGGGCCTGACCTCAGGATTTTCGACTGGATTCGCTGTGACAGAACTCAGGAAATAAATACATTTTATGTCCATGTTCCCACCCTGGGGTGTACCATCAGTCCACAGAGGGGAGAGAACAAGCAAGGGTTTGGAGCGGGTTGTCCAGTGTCCCCTGGAGCAGACCTTGGCCTCTGGTCTTCAGTGCCTGGTTCTCCTGTCTGTTGTCTCTCCTGGTGAGGAAGCTCTGACTTGTGACTCTCAGAGACTGACTTCAGGGGGCTTTGGGTCTGGGGGCTTTGGGTCCCTGGTTATAAGCTTTCCGTCCTCAGTGTCTGCTGTCACCAGCAACCAAGTGCTAAAAATGATCTGCACCAGTTCGCTGACAGGGGAGGCTGGGCCAGGGCGACCCAGCCCAGCTTCCTCTACTCTCCCTGGGGCCTGGGGCTACACTTGGGTTAAAACTCCCTATTAGGGAGCTAACTGAGCCTTCCACTTGGCCCCAGGGCATGATTTAAGCAAATTTAAAACCCAGTGCTTTATTGATAGTTTAAATAATTAACATTCCTTAAAGAAAAATCTAAATGTAAACAGTTTTTGCAAACCAGTATCCATTAAGGGACTTCTAAGTACCTAACCCCTATTAAACAATTTATGTAATCCAATTTTCCTTAAAGAAAATCAAATGCCCAGCTCCTTCCCAATCCTCCAAGCTCTGACATAGGGAAGAGGGGCAGCTAGGAGCAGATGGGGCAGTCTGTGTGTTGGGGGCGGAGGAGTGGGGGGAAATCAAATCAGCTCACCTGTGTGGTTATTTATCCGTGTAACTTAATAAACTGGTACTGGGAAAGAAAAGGAGGCCGGTGATCAACAGCGTCCCCGGGCTGCTGAGAGGACCAGCGTGATGAGCTGTCTTGGAGTTGGCAGTTAGGAGCTCGTGAGCGACCTTTGCCAGAACAGTTCCACAGGACGACCTGGCTAGAGGCCTAATTGCAACAGATTTATGATCTTGGTTTGCCAGATATCCTGCAAGGCAGAAACGAGGACTGTTCTGCACATATGCATCAGGACGCATAATGGGGCTTTGTTCCGGCGTGGGCAGACATGGAGGGCAATGCCTGAGCTCTCTTCCAGTTTATCTCCACGTCTTCCAAGCTCAAATCTGGCAACCCTGGAGAGGTTTGAAGTTTAAACTCCACTGAGCAGTGGACTTAATGCTCCAAAGATGCGTTGACACTCAGCCATCGTCCCTGGCTCCCAAGTGTCCGTGGAAGTTGTTGAGTTCACACAGAGACGATCCACATCCCTGCATGTCACCTGCTCCCTCTCACAGCTTGAAAACCATGCAGCTACTCTTACTAGAGATGGCCATCCTGGAATTTCTGGGACAGCCCTTGTTTAAAGCACTCTGTGTTCCAGATTGATCAGACACATCTTCTCCACCCCTCCACAAAACTCCACTAAAGAGAGTGAGAAATTTTAAAGGGTGCACATTCACAACAGAGAGAATGAAAAACATATCAGTGAAGAAGAGATTACACATTCTAGGGCAATGGAAAGTGAATAGAGACCAGGCACGGTGGCTCACACATGTAAACCCAGCACTTTGGGAGGCCGAGGCAGGTGGATCACCTGAGGTCAGGAGCTCAAGACCAGCCTGGTCAACATGGTGAAACTCCATCTCTACAAAAATACAAAAATTAGCTGGGCATGGTGGTGGGTGCCTGCAATCTCAGCTACTCGGGAGGCTGAGGTGGGAGAATTGCTTGAACTTGGGAGGCGGAGGTTGCAGTGAGCAGAAATCACACCACTGCACCCCAGACTGGGCAACAGAGCAAGACTGTCTCATAAAAAAAAAAAAGTGAATAGCACAATCCTATTGACTTAGCAAAGCAGATTGGCTTGCAGAGGGGATGCAGTGGGCAGGCAGCTGACTCCTCAGAAGGGCCCCAAAACTGGGTGTCCCATACTGTGTGATGTGAGGATGAGGTACAAGGATAAAAGGGAGGATTGATTGAAATTCTCTAAATTAAAGGATTGGGACCCAGGTCTCCCATCCCATCCCAAACAGCAATCCCTTCTTCCATCTTCTCCCTTATTCCAATAAAGGAACGACTCTTTCCCTAAAGATTCAACAGGAAAGGCTCCATATTTAGGGACTCCTAAAGGGCACTGATGAGGTGT